TCGCTACGCCGCCAATGCCGTTGTTGCGCCTCTAACCGCCTCAATCCCGGACACCCTGCCATCCCAAACCCCAACACCCGCGCTGTGCGCCATGATGATGTGTGCCCATACCCTGAGTGCCAGACCATCCAAAGAGTCATTCCCCGATTTCACACCCACAGGCGCACCGTGACCTGTGGGAGGGCCTCAGGGCGCTGGGGCTGGAGCCCTTTGTGGAGAAGGACGCAGACAGGTGGGCTTGATACAGTCATGTATCGCAGGACGTCCGAACAAGCAGCATGCACCCACCATCCAGCACCCCCTCACCCCCTTGTGAGTGTGCAAGGCATAAGCACCCACCTGCGACTGGGCACCCACGAGGGCGTGGGCGGCCGTTGAGCGCGTCACGCTGCTGGCCGCCCGCGCGCCCGCGACCCACTTGCATGTTGTGACACCCACTCTGGGTGGCACATGTCCACATTCCTGCGCTTTTCTTGGTCCCCTCCCGATGCCGCACAACCCGCGCTCGGCCGTTGCCTCGCACGCACACACCCACAATCAAGTACACACGCCTGCCCCAATCGCACGGGCGCCCCAGGGAAACAGGGTTCATAACAGATTTTCTTGTGTCATGTTGGTGTGTCCCTGTGGCCGCCCCATGTCGGTGTGTCCCTGTGGCCGCCCCATGACATACACATAAACGCGCCCCCGCCATCCCCCCCTACACACACACAATCGCTTTCGCGCGTGCCACGCCCCAGGCTGATTACTGTCAACACAATCAAGGTGCCCCCAGGGATTGATTTTGCTGCGCTCACGGCCCACGCCATGGCCAACTTTTCTGTTGAAATCAGCGGCGGCCTCGGGCCGACGGCCGGCAAGGTGCGTTCTCAGGCCCGGCCAAGGTCCAGGGGCCAGGCAGGGTGCATACTTGACATACGAAGAATTTCAAACATGAATCTCCTGAGGAGGCTGCCCTGCAGCAAGGTGGCTGCGGCGGCGCCGTGGAGGGCCCCGCCAGGTCAGCGCCGGTCATCGCAGAACTCGTGTCGCCGTGAGTGCGCTTGGCGTCACGCGCCTCCCTTTGAGCCAGGTCCACCGCGGTGCCAACGCCTGCCGCCCCCTTTCCCCACCCTGGCAGGTGTGGCGCGTGGGGCTGATGGGCGCGAACGCGACGCCGGCCAGTGTGCAGGTGGTGCTGGCTGCCTTCAGGGCCGGCCTCGCCGCGCAGGGCTGGAAGGGCGCTCAGGCTGCACCTGCGACCGCATGACCTTTGTTTCGCAGAGCCCAGCAAACCGAGCCGCAGCAGCAGTGGGGCCGCCGGCTGGCTGCTGTTGCAGAGAGCCTCTGTTACACCCCCGATGCTGTACTGCTGTTGTCGCGGCGCTTGACTGCCGTGCACGCCAGGCAAGTGTTTGGGTGCCCTGCCATCAGGTCCGTGGAGGCCGAATGACGAAAGTGCGCGGAGCCGCTGTTGTTGCCTGTGCTTTGTTGGTTGCATGCTGATTGATTGACGACGGCGCATCAACGACGTCTGGTGTGTAACGGCAATGTAAAGAACCTGCCATGCCCAGTGAGCCAGCAGCACGGTAAGACAGCTGGCGGTCAAAGGTCAAGAGTGCGGCAAAACGGGCAGATCGGTGCAACCTCCGCATCTCCAGGGACCTTCCTTGGATTAGCCACTGAGGCACGCAAGCAGCCATCACAAACACAAATTACATGAGAGCGGCGCGCTCCCGACACCCAAAAACCGTACGGCAGGCTGGCCTGTTGCCCCGGCTACGGGAACCATGGGATGGCCAGCCGTCAGAAACATACCAACCACATGCGCTGCGCCACAGAGCACCGCAGCACGAGCAGCGCGCAGTGCGCGGCCTGCAGTGTGCCCTGTGTCGGGACTGTGGAGGAGGCCTCTGGTCACGCACCGCTTGCCGCTTGCACTCGGAAGTGCGCGATGTGTGTGTCGTGGGCAACGGATGTTGTTTGCACTTATTTCAATGGGGGCCGGCGCAGGAAGCGGTTGGCCAGGGGCCCACTGTGGCGAGGCCGCTGCGAGTGTCTGCTCTCCCTGTCCCTGCTGTGAGTGGAAGTTCTGCAGTGTTTGCTGCCTTGCTGGTCAACAGCAACAGTTGGCGTCTTCAGCTCCGAGCGCCCAAGCCTCTCAAAGACGGTCTAAGACAGTTATTTGATTGAGAATTCCTTCAGCACAGCTCTGGCGCCGACCCCGCTGCGCCTGAGCGATGGTAGGACGCGCGTGCAAGTAGGCGGTGGCCTGACGCATGATGGGTCTACAAGTCCATGCAGCCTCTCTTGTCACCCTTGGCCCCTGCGCCACCCATATACCGTATACATACTGTATGCACATATACACCAAAATACACCAAACAATGCACAGGTTTGCCATGTAATACTGGGCGTGTACACACAAAGCATTTTTCATCCATATGCTCCCGACTTCAATTTGCCTTTGCTTGCACCCATCTTGCACCAGCCATGTGGCCATCATCCGCATGCCCTTACTCCATGTCTAGGGCGTGGCGCGCCGCCTGCCGCCCTGCATCGCCGTGGCGCCTAAATTGCCCTGAAAACCCACTCCACTTCACTGCAGCTTCCCTTCTATACCAGCATGCGGAAGTGAGACAGACAGTTCCATTACGCAGCATCCTCAAACCGTGCTGGATGAATCTACAGCACTCTCAAAGGAGGCACGAGGGCCCTGAAAGTAGACTGCATTATCACAAGTGACCACTCCGCACTCACCAGGCCCACACCCAGCACAGGAATTGTGCAAGGGGGATAAAACACAAAGTCAGCTTTCCTACGCTACATGGCATCACTCATCAACAACAACATACAGGGGAGAGGAGTCTCTGTGGAAGAAGAGGCGCCTGCACCAAATCTACATGCGCATGTCACAAGCTGTCTCGGGAGCACCCCTCCTGCGCCGCGCCCTACCCGCCGCGGTGGTCGGCAATGAGCGCCTCGTAGGCGGACCGCGCCGCCTTGAATTTGTCTTCCGCCAGGCACCTCGCAGCCTGGCCCGCGTTGAGGTGTTTGTCGGGGTGCCACTGCAGTGATCGGTGCAGGGCGGACGGGGCAGGTGCGCATGGCCAGTGTGAGGCCACAGATCTCGCCTTCCCGGTGTGTGGGAATGCAGGGCAATACGGCCAGGTGCAGGCTGTGGCTGGAGGGGGTGATGGGTTTCGGGGGACAGCGAGCAGATTGAGTAGAAGCAACCATAGGCTAGCATGGCGGGATCAAAAGCAGACGGTGCAGCCTCCCATTGGGCCCCACCATCCGCGCCTGCATTGCTGCTTTGTGGAAGGCGGCCTTGATAATCGCCGGCTCCAGCGCTGCCGTGCTGGGCAGGCCCAGTGCCTGGAGGTGCAACAGCACGGACGGCGCGTGCGGGCGAGAGCCTGCACCCTGCTGCTGCTGCTGCTGCTGACGGTACTGCTGCTGCTGCTGGCTCTGCTGCTGCGCCCGCTGCCACCGCTGCTGCTGCTGCTCGTGCGCGGACTCAAACTGCTCCCACCACTGCCGCGTCCCTCCTGAGCCGAACCCAGAAGAGGATGACCACCACCACCCGCTCCGCTGCCCCTCGTTGCTGCTGCCGCTGCTGCTGCTGCTGTTGCTGCTGCCCTTACCGTGGCTGCGCTGCTGCTGCTCCTGCCGGTGCGTGTGCTGCCGCCACTGCTCCTCGAACCAGCGCCTGCTCAGAAAGGCAAAGAGCGCGAGTTTGGTGGTGGAGTACGCGGACGAAATGGGAAGGGGGCCTGGGAGAGAGGTGCGCTGGTCCCTGTGGCAGCGGCCGCTGCGGCGGCGCTGATGCCGGCTGCAGCAACACGCGTGCGCGGGGCGCCGCTGCAAGCTCTCACTCTGTGGCACCACTACCACCAGCAAGCTTGCGTGGGCCTGTATCGCAGGCCACACCCCTCTAGGCATGCAGGCCATGCAGGCAGCGCACCTCTCGTCCTCGTCGTCCCACCACTTCCAATCCTCTCGGTAATGCTGCTGCCACCCACTGTTGGCCCCCGCCCCGCCGGCTGATGCCTCATCGTCCGACGAATCAAAGTACCCAAACTCCGCCCACGCCGACGCCACGCGGCCTCGCCCTTTGATGCGCCGCGCGAGCTTCTTCAGCCGCCGCGCGCGCGCGCGCTCCGCGCCGCTCTTGTGGTGGCGGAGGTCGATCTCTTCGAAAAATAGATTGTGGAGCTCGTCCTCTTGCGACCACGCGCCGCCGCCGCTGCGCCTGCTGCCGCCCTTGCTGCTGTTCTTGGCGCCGCCGCGCCCGCCTCGAGACGCGTTGGCGGCGCCGCCGAGGGTTTCGTACACGCTGACGTGGGGCCGCTTGCCGCCTGCGCGGGCGGTGGTGAGTGTTGGGCGGGCGGACGACCGGTGCCGCGCCTGACGCGCGGGCTTAGCCCAGCAGCACCTGCCCGCCACCAGCGATAGCGAACCCGTCGCCCCAGCGCCGTCGGATGGCGCCAGTGGCAGGCCTGACCTGTGCAAGCAATACATCCCGCATCTCGGTCCACATTTAGCTGGTGGCCGTCCGCTCACGTTTCCTGGGGCCGCTGTCCCCTCCAAAAACTTGGCCACCGGCAGACCACCACCAGGTTGCATTGTCCTTGGCCGAATCCCGCCGCTGCTGCGCGTTTCGCCGGCGGTGCTGCTGGTTATCTCCGCTGGAATGGGCAGCCTTCTTCTTTTTCGGCTCCTTGCTCGCGCGTTTGCTTCCACCGGCTGCCCCGCGCAGCTGCTGCAGCTGCAGCGGCGTGCTGTGGAGCAAAGGCGCAGTGCAGGGCTCCTGGTGCAGCGACAGGCGCAGCAACGCGCGAAGCATGTGGCGTGGTGCCTGTTCAAAACTGTTTGAGCCCTGATGACCGCCGTCCTCCGTGGTGAGTCTGCAGCATCTGGCAACGACAGCCGAGACTGGCCACTCGAGTACGGTACGGTAGCCTCCCCTTGCACTTTTATCTTATACGAATGAGTGACTGCAGGGATTCGTTGAGCGTATCAAATTTGCACCCACCAGCGGTTTGTTCCCTCCCAAAGTTTTTCAGATCATCGGTGTGCACGGCTGGAACACTGGCACCCACAGCGTCTTGGATATAATGAAAGTCATATCGCTGTAGGCTTGTCACAGTGGTGGGGCGATGGCTGCGATCGCCGGGCAAAGGAACGCTGTGGATTGGTCGGACGAGCTATGCGCGCGAGCTGAGGCGCTCATCAACGCTATCTGTCCGAAAGCTGACACGAACAGACGGCGGGATGGCGTGCAGCAGTACGTCAAGGGGCTCATCACCCGGTGCTTCCTTCCTGAGCAGGCGAGGATCCACAGCGTTACGCCGCTCAATCGACCCGAACGCGTTGCTGCATGCAGCTACTGCTTGGCTGGCATCTTGCCGGAGCCCGCACCGCCAGCATCTGTCGAGCGCATGGCTGCTAGCGAAGCGCGCGCAGCGCCGCACCGCTGCACCAGCCGCATGCGGCCCTCCGGCACCCCTGACCCTCCAGGTGGACGCGTTCATGTTTGGCTCGGTGCCCCTGAAGACGTACCTGCCCGACGGCGACATCGACTTGTCGATCTTCTGCGGCCCAGACGCGGCAGCGGCCCTCAAGGATACGTGGGCGATCAAGCTGCAGGGCGTGCTGCAAGCAGAGCAGGCGGACGAGGCCGCGCCCTACGCCGTGCGGGACGTTACAGTCATCAACGCCGAGGTGCGGCGGCTGCCTGGGATCCGCGGGTCGAAGAAAGCCTGCGGGCACGAGCGCGCGGAAGGCTCGAGCGCGCGGAACGTTGCACGCGGGCAGCGGGCGCGCACTGAGAGCCGCGTCCCCGGCCGCGCCCGGTTCTGATCCGCAGGTGAAGCTGCTCAAGTGCCTGGTGGACGGCATCGTGGTGGATGTCTCATTCAACCAGCTGGGCGGCCTGTTCACGCTCAATTTTCTGGAGGAGGTGGACCTGGCGATTGGGGGGGACCACATCTTCAAGCGCGCCATCATATTGGTGCGCGTCGCGGCGCCTGCGGCCCGCGCCCGGCGGTCCACGGCTCATGCGCGGCCGGCACGGCCGCTGCTAGAGGCTCGCAGCGGTCTGTGGTGGCGGGATCTCAGGACCGCATGAGCAGTGGGGCTGCCAGCACAAGAGAATTGGCGGCTGTGCGCAGCGGGGCCGCAGGCGCGGGCGCAGGAGGCGCAGCGACGGCAGTGCACGCTGACGCACGTGCCTCGGTTTCCCCCCCACACCCCAGGTCAAGGCGTGGTGCTACTACGAGAGCCGCCTGCTGGGCGCCCACCACGGCCTCATATCCACGTACGCGCTGGAGACCCTCGTGCTGTACGTCTTCAACAAGCACCACGCCGTCCGGCCCATCACCAGCCCGCTGCAGGTGGAGACGCAACGCGGCTGCGGGCAGCCGGGACCCTGGGGCCCTTCGGCGGCGCCCGCCGTGCAAGCTCCTCTTTTCAACACGCAGCAGCAGATGGGCCCCGGCGCGCCGCCGACCTGGTTCGCCCCCGCCCTCAATCGCGCCCCTGCAGCTGCTGCACGCGTTCCTGGTGGAGTTTGGGTCCTTCGATTGGGACCGCTGCTGCCTCAGCCTCCATGGGCCGATGCCCCTGCGGTCGTTCCCCTCAAACCCCAAAGGTGAGCGGGACCGCCGCCCGTTCCCGCGCGGCCTTGAACGCGCCCGCCCTCCAACGCACTCCTTTGCTGCCGGGCTCCAAGCGGCCCCCTTGACACCTTGCCTCCCGCCTCCTTATTCCCTTTATTGTTGGCGCAGTGGAGGCGCCCCGCGAGCTGACGCTGCTGCAGGCGCAGCCGGCGCTCGCCCAGATACTGCAAAAGTATGCTGAGGGCATGATGCAGCAGAAGGGCGGGTCGGTCAGGAACTTCCCGCTGAAGTTCTTCAACATAATGGACCCCCTGCTGCCCAGCAACAACCTGGGGCGCAGCATCACTCGCAGCAGCGCGGCGCGCATCAGGCGCGCCTTCCGCCACAGCGCCGCGGCGCTCGAGTCGATCGCCCGGCGCCACCGGCAGCAGCGGCTGGCGCGGGAGCGGCGGGCGCAGGCGGAGGAGGCGCGGCGGGGCGCGGGCGCAGGCGGGGTCGGCGACGGCGGCGGCGAGGGGCTGGGGCGCGTGGGCAGCGGCGACGCGGCTGCGGCGGAGGGCGACGCGGTGGCAGTTGTGGAGGAGGAGCAAGAGGATGCTGACGTGGCGGACGAGGTGGACGCGTTTTTTCAGACCACCTGGGCCGCGCACGCGCGGCGGCGGAAGCAGCTGCGGCGGCGGCTGCGGGAGGAGGCAGGGCGGCGGGAGCAGGGGCGCGGCGGGCGGGAGGGGGACCAAGCCGCCGAGGATGGCAGCAGGAAACGGCGCGCGTCGGACCAGCAGCAGGAGCAGCAGCAGCAGCAGGAGCAGGAGCAGCCGCCGCCGCAGGAGCAGCATTCTCAGCAGCAGCGGCGGCAGCAGGAGCAACCGGAAGCCGGCAGCAGCGAGCTCACATCCCCGGAGGCACCGCAGGAGCTGGAGCCGACGGCTTTCGCCGCGCCCGTGTTTGCGGGGGCCGCGTCGCCGCCGCCTCCCGGGCACGCGCATGCACACGCGCACGCTCATGCGCACGCGCAGGCGGCGCGCATGATCCAGCGCAGCATGAGCGCCGACGCGGCGGCGTATCAGCAGCTGTTCCAGCACCAGTCCGCGCTGCACGCTGCGCGCGCTGCGCTGGGGTTGGCCCCGGACGACGCCGGCGACCCGCGGCTGAAAGCAGTGATGGGGCTGCTGCCGCAGGTGCTGCGGCTGCAGCGGGAGCAGGCGGCCGCTGCCGCGGCGGCGGCCGCGGCGCAGCGGCAGCGGCCGGCGGGGCTGCACGCGCTGTTGCAGCAGGCGGGAGGGGCGCAGCGCCTCGCAAGCTACTTGGGCCACCACGCGGCGCCACAGCATGTGGGGCAGCAGGTTGGGCAGCAGCAGCAGCAGCAGCTCCGGCAGCAGCAACACCAGCAGCAGCCCTTGCCAGAGCGGCAGAGCGGCGACGGTGCTGCGTCGGCTAGCAACAGCGATGCGCCGCACGCCGGTGCCAGCTGGGACGAGGGCGCAGGGGAGGAGCAGCTGGCAGTGACGACGGCGGGCAGCCTCGATTCGGTGAGCTCGGGGCTCGTGGTTTGTACGTGCTTGCCGTGCCGCGCATGCAGCACTGCCGGCCGCTCTCAGGTGCTCGACTCAGCCGTGAAGTCACACTTGCGTGAAACCTTGGCTTGATACACCCCTGTGCGCTTGCGCCCTCTCGCCTCAGGTGGCGGAGCAGGCGAGCGCTGTTGTGGCTGATGCTGGCGCACGGCGGCTGCCGCAGGTTCCGGCCGTCGGCGCGAGCGCAGCCGATGCTCGGCCCCGCCGGAAGAGCAGCTTGCCGGACGGTGCTGAACTTGGCGGCAGCTCCCCTAGGCATGAAACCCTGCCGCCGCCGCCGCCGCAGCAGCAGCAGCAGCAGCAGCAGGAGTGGGACCAGCAGCAGCAGCGGGAGCGCGAGAGGCAGCTGCGCCGCCCGAACGTTGCACCAGAGGAGCAGCCCAGGAGCCAGCGGCCGCAGGACGTCGCTGGCTATCCGTCTGTCGATTTCGCAGCTGCCGTCGCCGCGGCTTTGGAGGCCGAGACGGCCAGCGGTGGCGGCAGCGGCAAAGGCAGCAGCGAGGGCGGGGCAAGCGCGTCGGCAGGCGTGCCTGAGCACAGCGTGTGGCCGGCATCGCAGGCGCTGCAGGCCGCGCTGTTTCGATCAATGTCTCCGGCTGTCTCAGCGATGGCGGCGGCTGCAACACGAGCGCAGCAGCAGCAGCAGCAGCAGCAGCAGCAGCAGCAGGTGGGTGGCGCTGCGGGCCGGCGAAGCTTCGAAGACGGCCGACCCAAGTCGCACACATCTGCAACGGCGCGGCAGCAGGCGCACCTCCACTCGCTGCAGCTGCTGGCAGGCGGCAGCGTCCCCGACCTGCAGCACCTCCAACAGCAACACCTGCAGCTGCAGCAGCAGCAGCAGCATCAGCACCAGCAGCAGATCATATCCGCGGCGGCCGCGGCCGCCACCGCCTACCTCACGGCCGCCCAGCAGGCGTGGCCGCCGCAGCTGCAAGCGGCGCCATGGGGCGCGCAGCACGCGCAGCGCGGGGCACGGGGCGCGGCCGCGGCGGATGACCTGCTCTCTGGCAACCTGGACACACTGTCAAGGCAGCTGCACACGGCGAGGTCCCACATGCTGCAGAACGCGCGCGGCGCTGGCGCTGGCGCGGGCGCGGGCGCGGCCCCGGCGCCGCGCGGCCCGCGGCCGCAGCAGCTGGCGCTCGCAGGCGAGCCCGGCGGGTACCGGGGCGTGGCGGGCGCGTCGCCGCCCCTGAGCCCGGCGGCGCTGATGGCCGTGCTGCAGGGGGGGCAGGCCCCCCACGCGGTTCTGCACTCGACGCTGCACGCGGTGGCGGCCATGCAGGCTGGGGCGCCCCTTATGGGGATCCAGGCGGCCGCGGGCCCGCACACGGCGCCATACTCAGCGGCCGCGACAGCCGCCGCAGCTGCCGCGGCCGCCGCCGTCGCGGCGGCCGCGGCGGCGGCGGCAGAAGGCGAGGCCCCGCAGGCGGCGCAGCGGGATGGAGGCAGCAGCCATGGTCTCCCCGAGGCAGCGGCCCCGCCGCTGCCGGCCGCCGCGCCCACCCCGGCGGCGGCGGGCGCAGCCACAGTCGAGCAGGCGACGGCTGTGCCGCGCGTGGGCGCGTACACGCCCCCGCACATGCGCGGCAGGTTGCCGGAAGAGTCCCCTGTCTCCGGCCTGGTTGCGCCCATGGCCGCTGCGGCAGCCGCCAATCACAGATTAGGCACCGTCGAGTCTGAAGGCATCAGCCTGGGGACTGACGGCGTCGAAGACAGCGCTGCGGCTGCGCGCAGCGCGCGCGACCGCGCGCGGGCGATCGCGGACACGCTCGCGGGTAGTGACGGGGCGCGAGGTGATGTTCGGCAGCAGCAGCAAGAGCAGCAGCAGCAGCGGCGCAGCTCCTGGGACGGCGCCGCCGGCACGGGCGCCCCCGCCGCCGCGCTCCCGAGCGGCATGCCTCCGATCCGTACGCCCTCCCCTGGGGTGGCCGCCGCGCCCGCGCCCCGCGTCCCCGCCAATGGCCCCCACGTGGCGCAGCAGCGGGCGGCCGTGGGCATGGACGAGCCCGCCTCGGGCACGGTCACGCCGTCTGCGGTGGCGGGCCGCTCGGGCACCCCTCGGACTCCCTTGTCGGCGCTTGCGGCCCCCTTCCGCGGCGCTTCCTCGTCAGCAACGCCCAGCGCGTCCGTGTTGGCGACGCTCGCGCCCGCTGCGGGGGCAGCGCCGGCCCGGCCC